GTTTCCCAGCAGGAAGAAGGGGAGAGGAAGCTTCTGGCCGGGGAGGAGCTGCAGATGCCACTGACTGCGTGTGTGGAGAAGTGGTTGCACTCCCAGCTCACCATGGGTCCCAGGCTGAGCATCCTTTCAGGACAAGACAGACATGGAAGGGCTTGAGCATGTCCAGAGAAGGGAACGGCGCTGGAGGAGGGGCTGGAGCACAAGGAGTGGATGAAGGAGCTAAGGGGGGCTCAGCCTGCAAGGAGACTCAGGGATTACCTTCTCACTCTCCACAATTCCCTGACAGGAAGGTGGAGCCAGGTGGGAGCCTGCCTCTGCTTCCAGGGAACAAGCAACAGGACAGGAGGAAAGGGCCTCTGTTCGTGCTGTGGAAGGTTTAGGTTAGATATTTGGGAAAATTTCCCTAGAAGTGTTGTACAGCTGTGACACAGGCTGCCCAAAAGAGTGTTGGAGTCCCCAGACCTGGTGGGATTTAAAAGTGGTGTAGACTTGGCACCTGGGGGCATGGTTGGATGGTGGTCTCGGCAGTGCTGGGAGAACAGTTGGGCTCAGAGGGCTTTTCCAATTTTACTGATTCTGTGATCTTGTTCTCATGGGTGTTTGTGCCCATGATTTCCCTACTGGGCTCTTCTCACAGCCCCTGCAGCACCATTGAGCCAAGCCAGAGGATCAAGGGCTGGGCTGCAGCTCTGCACCTCTTGGAGTGGAGGAACATGCCCTGGGACTCTGGGACTCTCCCACCCCACACAGTCCCTGGGCTTTGGCAGGTGGGATTCACCTGGCTCGGGTGAGCCCCCTGCTATGCCCGGGTGGGCTCTCTGTGGTGCCCACTCAGGGGTGGGGCCACAGCAGGTCCTCATTAGCTGCAGGGTTTGATGCTGACTGCAGACTCCTGCCTGCAGCATTGGCCACTCCAAATGTGCTGCCTGATTTCAGCCTTTGTGGCTCGGGGGGGGGCTTCATCTGGGAAAAAGCAAAAGAATTGGGCAAGGAGGTGCCTGGGAGAGCTGAGGCTGTTCTGCGTTACACTGGGATGCACAGGAAGCCCTCCTGGCTGGTGAGGAAAGGGTGAGACTTGCCTGATCCTGTGGGGTTAGCGCTGCTGGTGTGGGGAAGCCAGGGCTGATTTTCCTCTGCCTTTCACTCAGGAGGAAGAGACAAAGCGGCTGCTGGAGCCGGCAGCCAGCCCACCCAACAAGGTGCTGAACGGAGCGGAGCAGAGCTACCACAACCTCCCGTCGGCACGCACGGATGAGCAGGCCATGCTGTCCTCCATCCTCGCCAAAACAGCCATGTAAGCCTCGGGCCGTGCCCGTGGGGCAGGCAGCACGCCTCGGGGACAGCGGTGACCCTGGATGTGGCACGCAGCTGGGGCTGCCCAGCTGTGGGCCCCGGGGATCAGCCATCTGTGCTGAGGGGAAGGGAGGAGCTGTGGCAGAGCCCCCCATGTCCCTCTGCCCTCAGACAGCCCTGTCCCTCAGCTTTGGGCCCCACAGGGACACAGAGAGAAGACCCCAGATGTGAGGTAACCCCTCAGCTGCTGGGCTGGCAATAGGGGCAGGGTTTGGATATAAGAGACAGCCCATGGGGATGCGGAGAGGGTGGCTGGAGGGGCAGCAGCATTGTATCCCCTTCTGAGGAGGCTTTTCCTCAAATGCACCAGGGCAACGTGGGGAGAGGGCTGTGTCCAACCTGGCTGGGAGGGCTTTGGGAGGCTCTTAGGCCCTCTGCCTGACATTGGAGAGCTAGTGGCCACTGGTGTGTGTCAGCATGCAGGGCCACAGCAGCTCTGAGTACTGCTCTGCTGTGGGGTGCACACAATGGGGCTGTGGCAGGGCCCTGGGCAGGAGCCCAGGTCCTCTGTGAGCCTAGGGCTCAGTACCAGGGCTATCAGGACATCTGCAAAGGACACTGTCCTCCCAGTGGTTCCTTTTTCCTCCAGGTGGCTGCATGCCAAGCTCCCCAGAGCCCAGACCAGCCCCCAGCTTCCTGCAGCATCTGCTTGCCTCCCTCTGCCCCAGGGCAGCTGTGGGCAGTCCCTGGCATTCCTTCCTGGTGAACAGCCACTCCAGCCTGGCACACTTGTAGCCAGCTGGCAGCATTAATTGGGCGAGTTTGGCATTGAGATGTTTGTTTTGGGGTGCTGTCGGGTGCTGGACTTTGTCTGCCCTGGTCAGAGGATTCTCTGAGATGGGGAGGGAACTCAGGGAGAGCAATGGGAGCCACTGTCTCGTGTCTCTGCAGCAACATCATCGATGTGTCGGCAGCGGATTCCCAGGGCATGGAGCAGCACGAGTACATGGACAGAGCCAGGCAGTACAGGTGGGACCTGCACTTCTCCGCTGGGGTGCCTGCAGTCCTTCACAGCTGTGCGTGTCCCTGGGCAGGTCCCAGGGGTTTTGGCCTGGGGGAGTGAACTCAGCGTGTAGAAAGTCTGCCTCATCTCCGAGAGCAGGGTGCAGCCTGCTCAGGCAAGGCTGATGGCAGTGCAGGCAGCAGAGCCCAGGCCAAAGGGCTCCTGTGTTCACCCAGCCCTTGGGGCAGATGTTTGGGGGCTGGATGTGATGGCTTCTGCTTGAAAGGTGCCTGTGTGGGAGAGCTGGAAGCTCGCTCATCCTCCTGCTGCGGGGAGTGCAGAGGGCTGGATGCTGGGAGTGCAGCTCTGCTGCTCTCCCTCTCTCCCCCTGGGGGTTCCAGGTGCTTGGGGGTGCAGCACCCATCTTCTGGATGTCCCCACGTCTCGGCAGGGCAATGATGTTCGCTGCTTTCCCCTCGCAGCACACGCCTGGCCATGCTCAGCAACAACCTGACGCACTGGAAGAAGCTGCCCCTGCTGCCATCTCTGACCAACCAACCACACCAAGTGCTCGCCAGCGACCCTGTCCCCTTCGCAGACCTGCAGCAGGTGAGCCGGGCTGGGGTGAGCCCCGAGCCCCTGCGGTGCTCCCCAGAGACACATCCTCGTCCTGGAGGAGCAGTGATGCCCTCCTGCTTGCCCAGAGCTCTGACACAACTTGTTACAGCTGAAGGCAAAGCCTAGGTCAGGTTTAAAGCCTTGTTAGAGGTGGAGGCAAAGCCCAGGACAGGCTTAGGCACTCCTTAGGGCTGGAGGTTAACCTCCTGCAGCAGTTTCTTTGGGATAACAGGGAGTTTCAGCAGCCACCAGTGACAAAACCATGTCTTCGTGCCTGCAGGTGTCCCGGATAGCCGCCTATGCCTTCAGTGCGCTCTCACAGATCCGTGTCGACGCCAAAGAAGAACTGGTTGTACAGTTTGGCATCCCCTGAACCTGCCCCCACCACTGCTGCTTCAGCGCTTTGGGTTGTTTTTGGTTTATTTCCTGATTGTTTTTTTTCCTCTTTATATCCCTTCCCTTCCCCATGCTGCTGCCACAGAACTTGGACAGATATCCTGTTTCCTACTAAATGCCAAGGCGCACATCATTGGCACATTGAGCCCACCTACATTGCTTGAGGCTTTCTCCTCCTCGTGGGTGTGTGTGGGTGTGCGTGGGGAGCAGGCTGTGTCAGCTGGATGCTGCCTTGCACAGGGACAAGCACAAAGGGAACAGCTGCTGCAAGGAGGCCCTGGTGTGGGTCAGCACCACGTGCCAGGTTACCAGGACGGGTGGGCTGGAGCCAGGCAGATGTGATGCTCTGCATGGGGCCTGGTGGCTCCAACACCATCCCTTCTCCTTTCTACATGTTTAGACCTTTGTTTTGGCTGTTTGGTTTTTGGTTTTGTTGGGTTTTTTTAATTATTATTTTTTGCCACAGTCAATAAAGCCACGTTCATCCAGTGCCTGTCTCCACTGTTCTCTGCTGGACACAGAATGGACATGGTGGGGGAGCCATACCCTGGTGTATGGTGCACATCTGTCTGACCCCTGTCCATCATGTGCCACAGGGCCAAGAGGACGAGGGGACAGGGAATGTATGATGACCCACCTTTAAGGGGAAGGAGGCACCTGAGATTCCTAAATGCTCATGGTCCAAAGGAATGTCAAAAGTCAGGGCTGGCAAATAATCAGAAAGTTTTATTAGTAAATTACACACTTGGCATGGAAATTGCAGGGTACCTTTTTTTATGGGTAGGTTTCCCCAGCCTGAAGACGGAGTTCTCATTTTCTATGCAAATTAGTTATCATGCACAGTCTGTTCTTTCAGGTCTTCCTGGAAATGGGTCAGAGGGGTTTAGGGGTCTTTGGTCACCTTAATCCTACCCATAGTCCGTGCCCACTTCCTGCCACTCATTCCTATGCTGTACTGTCTTGTGCTTATCAGCAGGAACTAGAACAAGGATGTTTTTCCTACAACAAGGATGTTTTTCCAGTGCTGCTCTATCTCACCTTGCCTCTCTTCTTTAGCCATACCTTGTTATGGCGTGTTAAGATCAGCAGGCCTTGTTTATTACCAACAGTCCTTGCTAGACGCCACAACCATCCAGTTATCTATGTTTGAGACATACACATTAGCTCTCCTATGTTCTGGGAATAGAATTTTCAGTGAGATTTATTTTGGACTGTGGTTTATGGGGTCATTAGAGAGTGGGCTTCAGTATGCATTATTAGCCCTTTATAATTGAGAACTCAAAGGGTCTCACTTTGGATTGCTGTCTAGAAGGTTGCAAGAAAGTGGGCTTTAGTCATAGTAGTTTTCCATCTTGGCCACAATTTAATTTGGTTGAAGGTTCAACAACAAAAATACTGTTCCACATTGGTTGTTACTCAGGCAAGAAAAATAAGTTTCCAAGTCTGTTCATTAAAAAACAGATGCTCGATAAACATCTGTTACTTCCTTGGAACAGATTATATCCAATAAGCTCAAGAGGGGCTTAGTCTGGGTGCTCTTTGTGAAGGCCAAAGCCTAACAAGCATTTCTCAGGTCTTGGTGGGGCCTGAGCAGTGGTGGGGACATTCGCCACCACAATCCAGTTCATGACTAAACCTCTGTGGGCCTCTACAGGGTGAAATAGGGCTGTGGCCACGGGGACAAGCACAGGACCCCCCAAGTGAGACGAGGCCCCGGTAGCAGGTCAGGACAGGTTTGGGGGCTGATGAGGACCCCTGCCTAGCTGGCACTGCTGGGCAGAGTGAGGTGTCTGTGTGTGACACACCGCCAGAGTCCCCCACGTGTCCCCTGACACACTGTGGCCTTCCAGTACTCCGTGTGGCCCCGCACAACCCCCTCCACGTGTCACACAACCTCCCCTCATGTGTCCTCACCTCTCACTGCGGGCTTCAGACCCACATCCCCCACACCCCCGTGGTCCCACCTGTCTTACTGTTACCTTCACGAGTGTCCCCAAGCAGCCCTGTAACCCACTCCCGACACCAGGGCTTCCGTCGCTTGGACTGTTGCATGTTGCATGTGTCCCCCAAGTAGCCCACGAGGGTCCCGGTGGCCGGCAGAGCGCTGTCCCCCGCAGCCCAGCGCGAGTGCGGGACCCCGCGGTCCGCCCGCCGTGTGCCGCCCCCCGCCCGCCGGTGCCCAATGGGCAGCAGCGGGGGCGGGCGCTGCCGTTCGAATAAGAGCGGCCGCGGCACGGGCCCCGGCAGCTTCCAGAGCACCGCCAATATTGCTGGAGCCCCCAGGGCATCGTCAGTACTGCTGGAGCCCCCAGGGCATCGTCAGTACTGCTGGAGCCTCCAGAGCATCGTCAGTACTGCTGGAGCCTCCAGAGCATCGTCAGTACTGCTGGAGCCTCCAGAGCATCGTCAGTACTGCTGGAGCCCCTAGGGCATCGTCAGTACTGCTGGAGCCTCCAGAGCATCGTCCGTACTGCTGGAGCCTCCAGAGCATCGTCCGTACTGCTGGAGCCCCGGCGACGCCGGAGACGGACCAAATTCGCAGCCACGGTCACGGTACGGGGAAAGCTGAGGTCAATCGCCGGGCGGGCCCCGGTGGTTGCTCGGCGGGGGTGAATTCAGGGCCGCAGAGCGAGGCTGTGCCAGAGGCGGGCAAAGCGCGGAACCCTCGGGCGAGCGGGGCACGTCTGTGGCACAGCCTCCGTCTCGGGCCAAGCTCGGCGGCGTCCCCGTCCCTAAAGGCATTCGGCGACCGCGTTCCTCGCAAGTTCCTCTGCTGCCCCCAGCGCCGGTTCCAAAGAGCCTTCTCCTTGTGCCCTTCCTGGGCCGTGCTCGGGGCAGCCCCATCCCGCGGCCCTGAGCCTCCGCAGGCAGCCCAGGCACTGCGGCGATGACTTCCGAGAGTCTCCGGAACAGCAGCGTCCCTTCCTCGCCCGACTCCTCCCTCGTCTAGCTGGTGGCCCGTGGGGTCCGGTTCCCGTCGAATCCGCGCCCGCGGGGGTGTGTGCGTGTCGGGGGGAGTTTTCCAGGGGTCAGCTGGGATGTGAGTCCGGCCAGGTTAGAGGGAGACGCAGCATCGGGGGCCATTCTCTGCCGAGCCGCGGCTTTCCCGAGCCGCGCTGGGGCCGGGAGCGGGTCAGAGCCGGCCGCAGCGGCACAGCTCTCCGCCGCTGGCCGGGGCAGGGTGGCGGCAGCGAGCGCGGCCGGGGTCGGGCGCTCCCCCTCCGCACGGCGCGGCGCCGGAGGTTTCGGTGCCGTGCGCCTTTAACGAGCGCGGCCCGGCGCGGTGACGTGGGGTGGCGCAGGGCCAGGAAGGGGAACCGCCGCCTGCCAGCCCCGCCGAGAGAAGCTCAACAACTTTTCTTTTGTGCGTGGCCGCTGGCTCCCCGGCCCTTCCTGGCCTGCCAGCGCTCATGGCGGATTAACCCCAGCGCGCCGACGACGGCCGCGCGGCCCCGGTAAGGCCCCAACAAAGACTTTCTGCCTCTTCCTCGTTTTGTTTTCCACGGGGCTGGGGGGGAGCGAGGCGGGGGCGGCGAAGCTCAGCTCGCCCAGCTCCGCCGCCTCGCCGCAGCGTGCGGCTCCCGGCCCGGCGCCTCGGAGCCCCGAGGTGCGGGTCCGGCCGCGTCGGGCTCGCCAACATCCGGGCGCTCGGGTCGGCGGCTGCTCTCCCCCGCCGCCCCGCGCCGGCTGCGGGCCCGTCCGTGCCGGGGGCTGCCGTGGGTCGCTCACTCTGCCCGGGTGCTCCCCGCAGCCGGACCCCCGGCCTGGGACGGCCCGCGGGCGCGTCCCCCGGAGCGCTGGCACGTCGGGAGCTCCGGAGCGCGGGCTTGCGTAACGCCGTGTTGTGACCGGAGCGGCGCGGGGGAAGGGGGGAAGGACAATGCCGCCGCCGCCGCCGCCGCCTCCGGGGCTCGTTCCCCGGTCCCCGCCGCCCCCCTGCAGCTGCTCTCCTCGGGGATGCGGCTGGGAGGCGCTCACGGCCGCTGGCGGGCTCCCCGACCGCTTCCCGCCTGCCATCGCCAATGGCGCGTCCTCACCGAGGGTCATGGCGTTGTCTCAGATGCTCAGGGTGGCCAGTGTCACCAGGGACAAGCCAGGCTGTGACCGCGGCAGGAGCGGGTAGCCCTGCCCGCTGTGCAGATCTCACACCAGGAACCAGTGTGTTTGCAGGCTGGTTCTGGTAAAACCCAGCTCGACGCTGGTGGGACACAGTTTTTTCCGAGGGTCTGCATCCAGTGCTGCTCGAGTGCTGTGCCCTGTGCCTTTGGGTAGATTTTTAGGGAGAAGTTTTGTCTGTGCCACCGAGGGGAGGGACAGTAGTTGTTGAGTGACCCAGCCATGACACAGGGAGCTGGATTTTAGCCAGATTGGAGGGAGGACCTGTCCTGCTGAGGATCCCATGCTTCCCAGCTGGACCGACAGCAGTGAGAGCTCTGTACTCCCTAAAGCCACCGTGGCTGGTTGGCTGTGCTGTGCTGAGCAGCTGCAGATCCCGAGCAGTGTTCAGGTGCAATACCGGGTGAGGAGCTCCCTCCTCATCTAGGCGACTTTTTGGCTCCCAGCAGTTCCCTCCCCTGGAAGACTACCAGGGGACAGCCAGCGTGGAGGCAAAGGTCGCTGTGAAGGGGACCTGGCAGTGATCCCAGATCCTGTCAGGGCAGCTCATCCCTGCTCCCACCCAATGCAGTGATGCCCAGAGAGCTCCCTGTACCTCAGCAGGTGGTTTTTTTCCAGTAGTAGCTGTGGGAAGGGGAGCTGGCAGCACTTCAATGGCTCGGCCACTGCCTTGCTGGGCAAGAAATGTTAGTTACATTTGGAGGTGAGAGGGAGGGAAGAAGGCACAGCAGGAGAATGAGGAGCCCGAGCAGCAGTTTTCCACTGACCCCATGTCAGGATCCTAATCTGTGGGAGTAGACCTGGCTGCTGCTCAGCATTGCTTCCCACTCTGTGCCTGTGGGGAAGCAGGAGGATGCTGGCTGCTCCTGCACAGCTGGGATGTCCCAGATGCAGGGACACATCCTCCCTTGGTGGGTACAAATGCCTGATGCTGGGTGAAAGTAATTTAGTAACATAATTACTCTACCTTTTTTATTCCCCTCCCCCCACCCCTCTGTTGGTGTTTTTAGGTCTGGACAGGGACCTGATAGGCTGGCCACAATGTCTCTTCACGGTGCAAGAGTTGCTGCTCTCCTTGCTTGGGTAAGTCCCCCCTCCCCTGCATGCTGCTGCCAGCCCTGGCAGCTTTGAGGCTCGATGCTGAGGCTTGTCACAGGAGGGATTGTGGCTGGGGCAGGCCCTAGGGTAGTCCAGTTCCTGCCATTCCTGGGCAGGTGGGTGTTTGCAGGAGAAGCCTTGCTCACCCTTCCTGTTGAGCAACCAGAAATGCTGGAATGGCTTGGTCTGGTCATGGAAACAGCCTGGGAGATGGAGCTGAGCCTGAAGCAGGTAGCAGCTGTACTGTAAAGGGGTTGTTGGATCTGTCTCACAAA